GCAAAATATGAGCCCAAAATCTTGAAATAACTTGGATGACCCTCATTAGATGTTCCTAGAAACAGCTCCAGATCTCCCTCATTTAAGGTGAAAGTCAGCAATTTTTTTCGGCCAAAGCTGTTTTCTGGCCACCTCCCAGCTAACTAGAACGAAAAAAATCGATAAAAAAACTTTTTCCAAAAAGTGGTTGGATACTCATGGATTAACCCAGAGACTAGAGACTAACAGCTTTTGCCGAGACAGCTCTTGATTACTCATGATTTAGACGTGGTATTTGATTTGCCAGGAGACCCAGGATCGATTTTCGATGATTTTTAGCGTCCTCAAAGATGGATGAAAACATAGGTCATCAGTCATATCGAACCTCGTGACAATGTTTGTTTCTCGAAAAACTTTAAAAACCTACTGAAAATCTATACAAGATAGACTATTTTTCCCCTAAAACTAAAAGATTCATATTTTACTCAAACTCGACGCAGACTACTTCAGAATATCAGTTCTATATTCTATTTTTTTCATCGATCAAAATCCCTCCATGTTGACTATTGATTAATAAACAGCACGAGTCTCTATCATTTTTCGTGCAAGAAAAGTTATTGAATCCTTTACTCACCAAGGGATCATCCATGAACCATTCGTAAAATTGTTATAAAAAGGTCATGAAGCATCAAAAAGTGATGGAAAACAAAATCTTCTTTTATCGATCGACAGCTAATGGAGTTATCTTGCTCTCAAAAGCAATCTACTTTTTATCACATGCTTCATTATTTTTATAACAATTCTATGGATCGGTCATAGGTGATCCCTTGGTAGGTGAAGGGTTAAGGAATCTTAGAGTCCATTACATTTTGAAAAGGTTGACGAATGTGTATAATATCATATTTTCGTCTATTCTATAGGTCAAGGGTACAATTTCGAAAAAAAAATGCAGAATGAAGTGAACTCATTAGGTTTTGAATATGATTATTTGAGTATAATGCATTATGCTCATAACACATTTTCGCGTGATGAAGAATTGGATACTATTCGAAATTTAAATGCGTATGATTCTACTCTCGATCTTTACATTGGTCAACGGAATCGATTGAGTGATGGTGACGTGAAACAAGCAAAAAAACTTTACCAATGTTCAAGCAAGGATATTTTGTCATCCAACATTTTTTCTTGTCAAATATTTCTTATGTGCAGATTTTAGAATGTGGAGGTAATGTGTTATGGAAACCAAATGAAGTGATGTCCATTCGTTCACCGAATTATTTGTCAAACGATGACTCTACATATCCGTGTAAATGGCGTTTAATTGCATCATTGGGACAAACGATACATTTGACAATAAAACAAATACGTTTGACAAAAGAAATTGATTGTGGTGAAGATGCGGTAAGGGTGTATGATGGATATAATTCAGATTATCCATCGAAACTCATTGGTAAGATGGATAAGGTATTTTAAAGAAAGTATTGGCATAGATATGTTGTATTTTCAGGACGATTTTGTAATACAACAATAAGTCCAATAACGTTAATATCGACTGGACGGTATTTATGGATTGAATATCGACGAAGCAGTCATCGACGAGCACACAAGCCAAGCTTTTTTGAAGCAACTTGGAAAGGTAAATACAAGAGTTTTCTCTCTGTTTCATTCTGATATTCTGTTCGATATTTTAAAATCGATGTATGATGCTTTAGTGAATAAGTTATGATCCTGTGCAATAACAATAGAAATATTTTAAATGAGAGTACGAAACACTTTCTGAATTTTTAGTTGTAAAATGTAAGAGATACGTATTAATATAAGTAATAACGATAATCTCGATTGTGAACATCAGTTAACAAATACTTTCTCGGATTTCAAATGTAGAACAATTGTTTTATCAAGTGAACAAGCATTCATGTATTTAATTTAATAATTCGTTCATTGTTCTATTTGGATTAAGACAACTAGAAAATTGTCCTCTTTAATAAAATAACACATAGTATATTGGACGGGAAATTAAATGAGCTTGGAAAAACGAGACACTGACTGTGTGTTTAATTGACTGTAAAATGAGAGTAATGAGCTCGGTTCTAATAAAATTTTATTATTTATATAAATATTATATTTGAGCTCAGAAATGAATTTATATTCTGAAAGATACAAATGAGCTCGGTTAATTTTATTTTTGTCGATAAAAAGAGAGAATTGAACTTTGGTAGCGTTACTAGATTGATGATAATGAAATGGACAGCCAACAAAGACCTTAATGTATTTAGAAAATATTTTGAAGACCAGTGGCTATTATTATCACATGGACATGTTGACAAAGTTATCTGTCTAGATTCTTAATCAAACGCAGTTTTTATTTTGTTACTAGCAATGTTTTTATTTTGCACTAGCAATGTTTTTTTTCGTGTATCCATGGCTATGCCAGAATAAACTGAACTGAACTGATCACCATTTTGATATGAAAGTAGTGTGAAGCAGAGACCGAAACGGGTCTTAGGTGGATGACCCGATCCCGATTCGACCTTACCCGAAGGTTTTTTTCTCGAACTCCCCCCGATCCGAAGGCTTTTCCACCCTATCCAACTCGACCCGAAAAATTTTCGAAACTTAGCCAGAAGATGTTGTCTCGTCAAAGTTTTTGAAACGTTAACTATATAAAAGTAGTCAATATAGTAATAATAAAAGTAAAAATATTTGGGGCTTTATCTTTCATATGACTTGAAATGGGACAGACATATTGATAATATTGCTTCAAGAGGGGAATTCCTTGTTGGGCTGATGAGATGGCACTCTAGACTTTTGAATAAGGCGGTTCTATATCTTATTTACGAGGCTTTTGTGCTTTCGCTTTTTAACTATGGATCTATTTTATTCTCTTTTACTACTCAGCATAATCTAGATAAATTGGAGGCTGTAC